AAATTCCCTCAACATAAAATTGGGATAAAAAAGCAAACAAAATCGTTCATCCCTTTTTAAATTAATGTTCTTCCTTTTAAAATTAATTTATTAAAAAAAATATTCACACTATTGGATTCACTAAATGATTTTTTTTTTACTATATTAATGGTTTATATATTTTTACTGTTAAAGAACAAAACAAATTTGACTAAATGCACTCATTCTCAGAGTATTCACTCACTTTCTTAATGTGGAAGTTATTTTCTTAACTTTTTCTGTACACATAAGACTATTTTTGTTCAATTGAAAGAAGAAAAATTAAATAGACTATTAATTCTCTACACAAAAGTTGCATTTATAAATTTAAAGTGGGAAAAAAAAATTCTATCCAAGACATTTCTTTCTTGTCAATGTAAAAAGGAATTATATATCCCAGTATTGTGGGTGATATACAAACATTTTGAGTCACATATACATACTTCCCTTTGTTGTATTTCATGAGTTGCCACATTAGGATTGAATTTTATGTGTTGGGGAAAAAAAGGGACTTTAAAAACTATGAAATCCACAGTAATAACTACAAAGAAATATAAAAAAATTTACAATAAAACCACGTGGGTTTACGACGAAATCACGTGAATTCGACTCGGCACAAAGGGGTTACTCAAATGCTGTTTCAAGATTAGCGTCTTAATAAATAATATCGTATTAAAGATATCAGAATATTTAAAAGCATACAAAAATCAGTAGCAATAACTGGCCGAAATGTTCCAAAAAAATGATAGAATCATCATGAAAAAATAGTGAAATATTCAAATTTCCCCTATGATAAATAATATTGCATGGAATATATTGGGATTTGAAAAATCTTGAGAAAACCAACAGTAATAACTCTTAGAATTTTGCTAAATATTGCTGGTACGGAAGGAATAAATGTCTCATTAACGGGATTTTGTGAAAATTAATAAATTAAAATGGCGGTACTCCCAAGTTAGACAGAATATAAATTTTACTTGAACTTGTGGAATTCTGCCAATTAGCACGAATATCACGTGACTTCCATTAATGTAGAAGAAAGTAGATTGTGGGCGTGGTAAACTTGATGTCATATAAGAAAATTAGCACTCATTTTTCAAAACTTAGTGCAAGAAGTCTAATTGACGTTTTAGAGCAAAAAGTGGACGAAATTATACTTATATCTTTTTGTATCTGCTTTTATAATTCGACACAAATCAGCGTAACTGACGCGAGTGTGGGACTCCTGAAACCTTTATGGGAGAATATGTGTATCTAAACTTTTGAATAGATTGTTTGGATACTTGATGTCATCAATGATTTGTTTAACTAAAAACATCTCTTAGTTCTTTGACTGCTAAATAGAATTAATTATCAACAAAAATTCTGTTGGAGCTCTGGTGTGCTGAATTACAATATAAGTTTCAACTGCTTTCTGACCGTTACAAATAAAGATTTTCGTTATTGCAAAAAGAAATTTATAGTCAATTAAAATTTTGACATTTTTCCGATTAGCTCAAGCGTTCGGATTAAAACTTGAACCCTGTTCTTGATAACAGTACTACTATGAATTTTAAGTTTTCTCTAAGTGTACTTAGAAATCATTAACTTTTTTTTATTTTGTACTCTTTATTCGTTTCTTTTAAAATTTGTCAACTGGATAAAATCTCAACTGAAGTTTTGTACTTGCTGCCAATATAAGTTTCCTGACTACTACAATTCAATTGAAATTTTGACCACTTTCTAACTAGTTAGAGTGCTGAAATTTCAATTGGAGTTCTGTGTTTGACCAAGATACAAATTACAATTGTTTCCTTAATGTTGTAAACAAATTTAGCTCAATTTTATTGCCATTTGAAAATTTGGCCAATTACAGACATAAACATGCTAAAACACATAAAAATAATAAAATAAAATTGTTTCAAACTACATTTTAAAGTGCACTAAATGAGGAAAAACTCTTATTTTGGCAAACCTAAAATGAAATACGTAGTGTAGTTTTAATAATCCTAAAACGTCTTTCAAAAGTAATGAGCGCCATATTTTTTGTTTTAAGTGTGAAATAAATAAATAAATTTTCCTTATTTTTAGTTCAATAGAAAATCATAGTTATATTCAAATCCCCTTCCCCGTCAGTATAATTACACTTATAAATCTGATCATCAATTAAATTTTAAAACTGCATCAGGACATTTTGGTGTTGAAATTAATGTAACACAGTTGAAACATAAAGTAACAGAACAAACACTGAATCGTCATTTCAAAATAACGTGTGGTTCGCATAATTATGTCGATCAGAAGAATGCTGCTGATTTTGATGGCTACAGAAGAACAAATGAAATTCGCTAGTGAGAATTTATGAGAAACAAAAGGTAATATTACACTCTTCAACTATGAATAAAAATAAATACGTAGAAAGTAGCTATGAAGACCTATGTATTTTCAAACCATGTTATAAAATTAAAGGCCAGCAACCAAGGGGAAAAAAAAGAACTAGGAATAAGTGATATCATACTTTAATTTCATTCTTTCCTTCTGTTTCTTTATCCTGCAACAGCTTTGGTGATCCTTATTGTCTCCAATATCAATTTTTAATTCACTCTGGATAGATTAGGAAGAAAATTAAAAGAGCTGGGTGATCAGTGGAACTAATTATTATATTTAAAAAATCAGCATAACGTATTTTAACAGTTGAAAAAAGAAATTATTTTATCATACCTTGATTGTGCATACCTCATTTAAATTTAATTTTCAGTCATATGAAATTAAGTTTTTGAAATGTAAATTAACTTAACCAGTTTCCGAAAGTGAAGGTGTAATCAAGGTTTGTAGTGCCCCCCTGTCATTTGTCAAACTTAAGGGGTCATGCTTTTTAAGATCATTTCGACTAATAGTTTACGGTTATGTATGTTTTGAATATGCTTTTGGGCTTGAAAGAAAATAAATCAAGTAATTAATTAAGTGGATCCGTGCTAGCAGAATTAAACCTAACTTTTAAAAAATATTTTTTCTTTTTAATCCTATTTTAAAGATAGAAGGAAAGAATTATTCTGAGTACCAAATCATATGGTGGCTTTTCCTTGATGCAAGTGTTAGATCAGTTTTAATTAATACCTTCCATTTCAAATTCTTTTGTCAATCAATGGATGAAATCCTTATGATTGTCCATATTAATAGATAGAAAAAAAAAGAGACTTTATTGTCTGCTCAATATTACAGATTATTCTTTCCATATTTGAGATTTCCTTTTCTTTCTCAAGGTTTTTTTTTTAAAAAAATTTTTTTTTTAACAGTGCTTGTTTATTTTATTTTCCATAGAATTTTGTAGTTTTTTAAAAATTCAGAATATTTCATAAGATTTATATTTTAAATAGGAATCCAATTTTAGTAAAGAAGAACCTGGGAGCCCTAAGGACAGTATAGCATCCCCTTAAAGCAACAAGTACATATCAAAAAACATTTGATTAGCAAAAATAGATTAGGGCAAGGAAACTCTTCAAATTATTTTTTTTATTTCAAACAATTTAAAAATAATGTTCCATAATATCTTGCGAACCAGCGGATCAATTTATACAAATTTTCTTTAGAATGATATAAGTACATATATATTTTTAAATAGAAATCATAAGGTAAGCAATAAAACAAAAGTTCTAATTTAAGCTAAATATAAAAATGTTAGAAATGCCACTTATTTGAAAGCAGTATTAAAAGAAAATATATATTTATTTATCAATTAGGATAAAAGTTTTGGATTGGGGTAATGTAAAAGATGGGAAATGACATTGAAATACATTTTATCCAGGAATTCATTTTAGCTATTATTTGTATTAGTTTCTATAGATAAATTTCATTTTAGAATTCTGTAACAGAGTAACATGAGTTTAGCGCACTTAAAGCTTTCAGGACAGATGTCTTTTTTTAGCTACAGTGCTGTTAAAAAGCTTTCCAAAACTTTTTATTGAGAACATCTGTAGTATAATCAAACTCTCCAATAGTAAGAAATATCTGATAAATATATTTTAAAACCAGGGATGCCACAGAAAAAAAAATGAACAATATAGTTGCTTTTAGTAGACTAAAGCATGAAAATAGATGCGAAATAGTATGAAAATAGTTGCCTAAATAAGAACAAAAATATGACAAATATTTTATTAAAATGACTTGTCATATACCATGATCTATTTAGTCAAGTTGGTGGCAAATATGATAATTTGTATATACACATTAGTATTCTAGCACTAAATTTTTATATCAAGAAAATTAGTATATTTGCAGAAAATTAAATACTTTTAATTACTAGAAATCATTCAAAAAATATTTTTTCATTAAAAAAACATACTTTTTCTAAAAAATTTTCATTTTAACCAATAATTGATTTAGCAAATATTCAAATATATATATGTTGCTAAAAGTGATTATTCAAATTTAAAATCCATGCATCGTAATATCGTATTAAAAATTGGGTTTTTTAAAATCATGCAGAATTTCGAAACAATAACCGTTGAAAAGGCGGCCGAGGAACAAAATAGACTTACAATGGAATCTGTGGAAATTAAAAAGTGATGACTCAAATTTGCAATTCAAATTTTTTTTACTTAAGAAAAAAAAAGTTTTCAACCCAATTTATGGTAAAAAAATATTATGGTAAGAAAAGTCTCCCACATGCCTTCTTTTCCTGAAAATAGTTGCTTTTTTTAAGCCCTTTCAAGCAAAAAAAAGTTGCCATAGTCGCCTCAGGTTGAAAATAGATGCAAATAGTCGCCTGTGGCAACCCTGTAACACAAATCTTCTATTATTTTTTTTCATTACTTCTAAATCTTTTGAAACTGTTTTTAGTTGACCACAGGAATTTGTAATCCTCCCAACATAGCGTAGGCTTTGCATTAATAAGTGTATCAAGTTTATAAGCTAGCACTTCAAACAGTACAAAACATCGATAGCATATCTTTAAATTTTTCCTTAAAACTGAATGTGCAATGATTTATCTAAGAATAAAGTGAAAGTAAATGCTTAAAATTTTATTTTTAGAATAAGTGAAACTTTACAAATGTGTATTAATGTGTAATTTACAGACATGAATATTTAAGGTTTACACAAGTTATTGCTTCTCCCCATTAACACAATCTTCTTTGTCTAAAGATTCACTACAGCTATCAACAGAATCTTCATCCTCACTGACCCTGAAAAGCATATACCAAACTATTTTAAACACCAGCATTCAAAATTGCCAAAAACCATTTTTTAGGAGAAAGAATAAATCAAAAACAATAACTGAAGGGCTTTTTACTAAGATGTTACTCGCCAGAATTTTCGGCATATTATCTACAGATTACTTTTAGACTTGCATCAACCACATGCAGTGAAAATGGTCCTTTTTACAATCCTAATTAAAAACAGCAGAAATATTTAAAAATAATTTATCTTAAGAAGAGCGTTAAGAGCAATAAAAAAATAACTAAAAAGGACTGGCAGACAATTGTGAAGAAATAAAATCTTTATCTTAATAGAATAAGGATAATAGAATGTTATTATGTTTTAATTTAGCCGATTTAAAGTATCCTTACTGCAATCTATCAAATACTTCATTAAAAATGTACAACAAATTAAAGTTATGAATGAAAAACAATGTTACTCTTGTGCTTTTTTTTCTTTCTCCTCACTCTGTTATTGTGACTGTGCTGTTTCTTTTTCCCAGCATCACAATTCCTTTCTTTTCAAAAACAGGTGAAAAATTTCTTCTCTTTTTATTCTAACAAGTTGGAGAGAAACAAGTAGGCCATCTAAAAATTCTCCCCTCCCCTATTGACTCAGAACATTTGCAAAGAGTTATCTTTCATTCCTGACACAGTTAAGCTGAACTGAATTTTCTGTTTGAATTAGAATCAACCAAAATGTCCAGGGAAATTTTTTTTTAGCTACACTTAAGAATTTAAGCTTAAAGTTATTAAAAAAGCAGAAAAAGAAAGAATTTTGGGTGGCTAGAAGACATAAACAGATAAATCAAATATTAGTCTTTGGAGAAAATCTAAAGAAAAGTTTAACTAGACAAAGGGAGAGGTTCTTTCTGAGAGGAGAGGCATACTTCACTCGCGTGGCCTACATTGGAATCTGAATTAAATTGCTGGATCCTCAGCAAAACAGAGAAAGGATATCGATTGCTTTGTCTTTAAAGCTTTTCTTTTAACAGGAAAAAAAAGAATATTCAATCTCACCAGCAACCCGTCATGGTGCTACTGATTTATGAGGCTACTAATGGTGTAGATCAGGGGTGTCAAACTCGCTGCCCGAGGTGAACATTTTTGTGGCCCAGTCAATATATCCGAAGCAAAGTAAAAATAAAATTAGAAACGAAACCAGCATATAAAATTATAACATACTTTATTTAAAAAACTATACGGATCATTTTAAATTGTCCACGCGAAAATGTAAAATTCTAATTGGGTGAAATGGAGTCCGTGTCACACTAAGCTATCAATTAGATAGTACATAATCAGGTTTATCCTATTATAGCGAGGTAAGTTGGTTATCTTGCTCCAAGGTTCTCAATCAATTCTGGGATTTGAAACAAAAAATATGTAAGTTTTTACAAACTATAAATCAAGATACAAGCTTGTTCTCCGATCAAATAGGGTAGCAAGACTTATCTTTTATGGTTGATATAACCAAACACTTATCCGATTTAAATTTATTGTTACAAGGCAAGGATCAGATCATTACAAACATGATTGACAGAATTAAAGCATTCAAATGTAAACTATTTCTTTGGGAAAGGCAACTGGAAAATGAAGATTTAACGTACTTCCCAACGTGCAACAAGAACAAATCTAGTTTAGATGATACTGCATCGTATCAAAAATACGCAGAAAAAATTTCAAGTCTTAGAACAGAATTTGAAACCAGGTTTAAAGATTTTAATTCTTTGGAAGACAAATTTTGTTTGTTTTCTTCGATTTTCTCAATAAATATAGACTCAGTACCCAGTTACATGCAAATGGAAGTGATTGAGATTCAGTGCGGCTCAAATTTGAAGGCAAAATTCATTGAAGTGGGTGTGCCTGAATTTCACGAATATTTACCAGCAACATTTGAAAATACTCGAAAATTCGCGTATGAAATTATTTCCATGTTTGGAAGTACTTATCAGTGAGAGAAATTATTTTCTGTTATGAAGGGAAATAAATCTGTCCGAAACCGTATTAATAACGCTCACGTTGGGTCAATTTCGAAAGTAGTCTCAGCCAATAAAATTTCTCCCGAAATAGAAAAGATAATAGCAGGGAAGAGATGTCAAGTATCAGGACGTAAACAATAATTTAACTTTATATACGTTTATAACAATTCGAAATAAAAATATTTGTTTCTATGAACATTGATTTTCTTTTTCTGCGGCCCACCTAAAGTTAAGCATTGTTTATTTTGCCCAAGTTAGCTTTTGAGTTCGACACCCCTGGTGTAGATGGTATAAACATGGATGAGGTACCACTGAGTATTGCCTTTATGATTCCGGGCAATGAGAAGATTTTTACTGTAATTACGGCAAGCTCCCCTTGTACTTTTCAAGGAAAAGGCAATGCTGAAAACATATTCTCTCACAGGTGAACGAAAAAGGGTGGATCCACATCATCACACTTCTTTAATCTCTAAAAATTGTTGATTATGGACTTAATGTGGCCTTATAGATGTTGGGTTAAAAAATGAAACCCAACGCTACATCTTCTTCTCCTATAGAAGGCCTTACTTCACCTGAGGTGATGACTTTATGCCCCAAGAAACTATTTAAAAAAAGTTTCTATCCATTTGGAGTTGAATAAAAACCCTCAAAATAAAATTAGTAGCAAGAGAACCATTTTGGTAAATAAAAAATAGCTTGTAACTCAATATTACTGATATTCTTGAAATTGGTATAAAAAATTCATTGCCTACCAATATCATCAAAAGAACGGCATATAAATATATTCAAGTTGTTGAAAGCTAATATATATTGTGCGTAAAAAAGTAATATTAAGAAAGTTGCTGAGAACAAAGTATTTTTATAAAATATTGAACAACTCAGATACAATGGACATGAAATGATTCATCTGTAATGGAAGATGGTGGGAGTTGTAGTAAAATAGCATAAAATATATTTTAAAATATCATACTGGAAAAGAGCATAATTTTTAAAGATTCGTTTTTATACTTTGTATAATAATATTTATTGGAGAAGACCATTGCAGTAAAAACAATATGACTCGTTAGTCCAGAATCCAATTAAAAAAATTATTATTAGACGCTTTAGAATACAGATAGAGATCCATTGTGTTATCAACAGTAAATTTTGCCAAAAGTCAAGCCAATGGACAATAAAAATGAATTAGCCATTTAAAAAATTGATCGCTTAAAAAATGGAAGATGGAGGGGTAAAAATAGATTTTTGATATCCAGTTGTTGTAACATTGAATAACAATTAGATGTTTATGTTTTTTAAAATGAAAAGTTAGCTCATGTATTTACTTAGAAAAGAAACAAGAATTAAAAATGAATATAGATTTCAGAAATAAATGAAATTAAATAGTTAAGAAATTTGAAGTGTCTAAAATGGAATGAGACCAAGAGTGACAGAGCTATAAGTTGTTCATATAAGCTTACGTAGAAAATAAGAAAACCTCAGTAAATTTAAAGTAACGCCTCAGCAACTGTGTTAAATTATAAAGCCTCTAATAAGTAATTTAAAGAGATATTAAAAAGTAACATATGGAAAATTAAAAAAAAATAATAATTACTCATCAATAGAGTTCTCTGCTTCATCACCATTGGTTGATTCTTCAATCTTTTTGCTACAACTTGGTTCATCAAAATTCTCTCCATTAGTACTTTCTTCAAAAATTTCCGGATCAGCATCGTGCACCTTGTCGGTAATTTCTTCTACTTCTTTGCCATCCTTTGTAAAAAATTTGGTGATGGGACTCTGCCATTTTGGAGTAGGACGTTTAATCGGCTTGTTTAATGAACCGCTTTTACTTTTTTCTAGGAGTGAGAGCATTAAAAGAACATTTAATTAACTGAAAATAAACATTTTTAACTTATCTTTAAAAAAAAACTATTTTAAATAAGTAGCTTTTATAACAGTAACTGAATCAAAGAAAAATTAATTAAGTTTTAATTTTCTAATCAACAGATTGATTAAGCATTTGGAATAAATCACTGACAGAACAAAAGAAAAAAATCTAAATAAAACTTATTTTCTTGATTTGATTTCCATATAAGTTCCAACACGTTATGTTTAAAGAGTTGCTGTCCCAAAGGTAAAGGTTATGAAATTAAACACATAACATACTTTGCATGCATAACTTTTTCTTAACAAATTTGTTTCCCTTAATTGTAAATATAGCCCACAATCTGAAAAATATGAACTCAATAGTTTAGTCAAGAGTGTGATCAAAAGTTTAGACCTTTGCATATTGCGTTATATCTCTGAAATTGTTTAAGTGAATAAACATCTTTTTACACACAATAATAAAGGTTATAAAAAATGATGCCAAGAAAAAAATTTTTTTTTTTAATTGTAAGCTATGCAAATGCTTGCATCATTTTAAAATATGTAATTTTAAATGACAAAATGTGCAGAAGACTGATTATAATGCATAGCTTCCAACTTGTTGAAAACAAAAATAGGAACACAAAGCATGGTTAGCCAATCAGGGGTAATTATGACACAAAGTGCTAAACAAATTGTCAACATATTAATAAACCACACACATTTCGTATTAAGCATAATTTTTTGCTAACAGTTTTTAATGAAGAATTTCACACTTTTATAGTAACTAATTCAAGGAAAAACTTACTTCAGACAAGAATCACAATATTGGATTTTTAAATTGTGTGAATATAATTAGCAATTATGGATTTTAAAAACGTGTGAAAATGAACAGCAATATTGGATTTTAAAAACTTGAGAATGCAAATCGGGTCATTGGATTTCAAACTCTCGTAAATACAAATCACAACATTTGATTTTTGAAATACCTGAATAGGAATCACGATGTACAATTTTTAAATTGCATGAATACAATTCGCAACGTGTAACTTTTAAATCAGTTACATTTGAAAATCGTGTGATTATTAGCTCCTAGTTCCTAATATTCAAAATTGCGAAAATCAGTCAAACCAAAGTAATCAAATTAGCAGAAGAATCATATAATGTAAATGTCTTGTTAACAAGATGTAGCAAAAGTTCAAAATTTTGTTGAATTTTAAGTCTTGGATTCGCTGAAGTCCGCCAACCAATGGCTTTGAGCTACATGGAATTCTGTGATATTCGTGGAAAATTACATGCCCTGCTTCTAGTTCTTAGGCTTGCACGGGGTTGAAGAAAAATCGGCATAAGGAGAGAAAAGGCACTAAAATACAGAAAAATCTGAACATTTTAAGCTAAAAGCGTATTTTTGGAACAAAGCTGAAAAATCAGAACAAATACGATTTAATTGGAATAGGTTAATAATGACAAAATTTCAAAAAAGTAATACTTTTAATTTTTTATTTCTCAGTATTCGGATTTTGTTCAAATTTTGGATCATGTCATTTAAGATTACATAATATAAAATGAGTGTTAATAATTTGAAATTCATACTCCTAACAATTCAAAGTTTTTGCAACCATTATTAGAAAAAGTAAAAATAATCAATTATTAAAATAATTTTTAGAATATTATCATTTGATAAACTAGTTTTTTATTATAAGCAAAAATTTTTTATTTGCTTCAAAAGTAACCAAAATATGATGTATTATGCAAAAAGCAGAGCCAACTTTCAGGGGCTCACCTTTTCTGACTAAATTATTGTGGCCAATATTTTCCAAATTGCAGTTAATCTTCACATTTTGATTCTGATTTCTTGGTTTTGTAATAAAATTAATATTATTTAAACAAAAATATTTGAGGTCAACATTTATAACCATAAAAATTGGCACTTAGTTCATACTTAGTAGTATATGAAAAGATTCAGGGTGTTTTTTCCTTTTTCTAATCTGTTTCTGCATGCTTAACTAAAATTGCCAATCCTTCATTTTTGCAATAAAAACTGAGTTTTTGAGAAAGCTTTGAGTGATTTTGTGAAAAATACTAATAATAAATATTTTTTTCCAAAAGCGTGTAATAAAATTAGAAGATCAAACCATATTAAGCTACTTTCTATAATGTAAATATAATCAATATACTTTCAACACCTGTTATTTAGTATTTACTTTTTTTAAACAATTTGAGAACTTATTTCTTTTTTAAAAACAAAAATATCAATTAAATAGCCACTGATATACAATCAAAAAAGCTCAATGAAAAACATTTTTTATAAAAGAAAAATAACTTACTTATTTTAATACTTTTCGCCAGAGGTTTTGAAATGCTGCTTTTCCTTGATGCCTTTCCTCCAGCTGTAAGAAAGTGAAATTATATATAAAAATATACTACATTATAGAAAAAACTTATTTTTCTTGATTAACAAACAAATTAAGCGGATTTAATAAACAAAATTTAAATTATGATTAAAAAAGCATAGACAGGACCAGCACTGAAGTTAGTTGCTTTGGTAGCCACAAAGCTGAAAAATAGTAGTATCCTTAGAAATGAATAATAGAAGTAAAAATGAATAATAAGAATCCTCTAAAAAATAAAAGTGGCACGAGGTAAAAGAAAATCAAAAGGAAGTAGAGATAATACTCAGAGTGTTTGTAAAGACTCCCTCCAATAATCAGACAAATAAAGAAAATTTTCAGGGATCATCATCGATTCAAATTCAGTAAAGCTAAAAAAAGAAAGAGATAAAAAAAATAACTAATATTTTTGCAGATATATAAAAAAGATTTTTAGGTTCGAAATTTATGACAATATAATTTAATTTCATCCCACTCAACAATTGGACACCTGCAATGGATCTCCTAATATTTTTATATAGGACCTTTTTTATCAATGAAAACCAAAAGATACATGCATTTTTTCCAACTTTTTTTTTTATTTGTATTACTTAATATTCCATTAATTACATTTTTTCACTAAAATAAAAATACATGCAATATCCAAAAAAATTTATATAGAAAATAATGCATTTTCTTTCCATAATTAATTATTATAAATGAATGGTCAAAATTAATAAATAAATAAAAAAAAATTCATAAATTATTGATACAATGCTTTGTAAAAATATGACAAAAAGCTCTGTTCGGCAATTTATGAAAGATCTTATTCAAACAAATATTGCTATAAAAAATAGTCATATAAATACAAAAAAATAACAAAATGAGCTATGAAACAAAAACTAGTTAGAAAAGTAAAGTGTGCATGCTCTTATGCTCATAAGCTAACCAGGAAATAGGTTAGATGTCACATGCGATGTGAAGGTATTTGCGATCACTGGCAACAGACACGCTGCAATGAGGAAGAGAAATCGTGTTTCACATTGCTGTTGCAGTCGGTATGAAGCCACAATAACATTATTGGAAGAAAAGGAAAAAACTCTTAACTCCTGAGGAAGTAGAAACTCTTTAAAATCAAATTTAAATAGTACAAGAGGAACGTAATTGGGGTCAATATTCTGAAGAAACTGCTGAGTATCTTTTTTTTGTTTGCTAGTCAACAATTCTCTTTTTTCTTAGGGTGCCATAAGCCATGAAATGATATTGCACAAATGAAATATTGCTTTTTTTTTTTTTTTTTTATTCTATTAGAATGACTCCACAACAAATGGTAAGAATTTGCTAATGTTGAACTGTTTCTCTGCAAGATATTTAATGAACCTGCTACTAGTTTTGAATGTAAAAATAGATCTTTGACATTACAATACAAATTGAAGTCTCTGATGATATTGACAATATTTAAATCAATATCACAAGTATTATCAGTTATTTTTGTGTAATGACTATTATTCTAAATAAAAGTTTCGACACATGCAATCTGGCTGTTCCTGCAAAAACTACAAGATAATTGGGGCAACACATGATTGTCGGTATACTATTTATGGGTGCATACTTTGAAGATCAAAGTTTTTATTAATATTGATCAGTTTCAGAGGTGATTGTGATCCCAACTCAAAAATCCTGACAATTTTTTGAGTAAAATGATGCATTTTAAAAATTTAATGTCTTTATAAATTCAAATAATTGATATTTTGAAAAAATGAAATTCTAAATAAATTATATGCAGCCTAATTTAAATTAATAACTATGTGTAAGTTTACTTTTATCTCTAATTACATTTATTATTCTACCAGACAAAATATTTGCAAATGAAAGAGATGCCAAGCATAAAATCTAGTTCTAATGTTTTTTAATAAAATATACTAAAGTTTTTATACATAAATGTGATTGCTTAAAACTTCTGGACCTTGGATTTCCAGAAGCTTCCGGATCGCGGTTAGCGAAAATTACAGAAGATTTTTTCGGAGCACAATCATCACTGCAGTTTTAAATACGCAATAGTCATTTTATCAATTATAACCACTGTCAAAAACAATTTTTGCTAGGCTGGTTTTTACCATTTTTTTATTTTTTTTTTTTTATCTCTGTTCCCTTTTCAAAGAGAAAAAAACAATACAATACTTTTGAACAATCTTTTCCAAAATATTAAGTTTAAAATATAAAAAAAAGAGTTTTACATCCTCTAGCTGTTTTTAGATAGCTAAACAGTTACTAACTTTAAGAAAGAGAAAAGAACAATTAAAAAAGAAACTTCAGGAAGAGGAATAAACTATTAATATTAATGAAGCTGAATACTAATATTTTTAAAAAAATCAACTAAATTCCATTCCTTGTGAATTAATTTCTTCTTATCCTTAAAACAGAATTGATTTTTGCTGCCACTTAGAAGTTTGTTTAATATGTTATTGTTATCAGAATATCGGCACTATTAGCTCCTATATATTCAAGAGACTCTTAGAATAATATATTAAGCTTGGTCTCTTTGGAAACATATTATTATTTACATGTTCATTTACAAAAATCTAGTCAGAAAGTTTTTTCCAGCAAATCTATTCAACAAGAAAAAGTAAATTAAAGAATCAAATTAATCTTGTTAGCACGTTTAAGAAAACTTTAATCTGTTCGTGAAAACGTGGGGGAAAAAATACATACCTTTACTGTAAGCATCGGCTTTAGTACGAGGGGGCATGATTTTTTCGATAAGCTTTTGATTTATTTAATTTGCCGCTGTTTTGTTCCAGTGGTAGTAGTAGTAGTTATCTGACAGTCCGTTTTTGGAGCTCTATACTTCTTAAATGTGCTTGTAGCTTTCATGGATCATGAGGGATCATACAAGAGCTTCACGATGGGCTATTGGCGGCTGTCTGGAAAACAGATTTGAGGGATACGGAGACAACATATATACGTCACGTCCCGTTTTGCAGCGAGAACACTTTTACGTAACATCCATCCGCAGTTAGTTATTTTTGACCTGAACCAGAGTTACATTAATCTCCGATCCAGTACCCCTAGAGGTATTGATTTGTCATGCGATCTTAGAAGACTATGTGACCCCGACAGAGTTAGAGTGCACCAATCATTATTTTGTACACGAAGAGTCTTCGGGAGGCAGGAATCGAACTCACGGCAACTCTGATATGGGTCCAACGCCTTACCAGCCAGACTAACGACAGACCTTTAGATGCATTTAGTGGATAACAAGAAGGACGTTAGGTGCTATCCCTTACGAAAATTTAAGGTGTATATTTAGGGTTGATTTGAGGTATTTTTGAGGTATTAAGGTTGATTTGAGGTATATTTAAGGTTGCACAGAGAACAGCAATAAAAATTATTCCTCGTAAAAGTTGTAATTAAGGTGTACGAGGTTGTTTTATATACACTTCAGCATGTTTTGAGGTTGTTTAAAATTCACTTCAAATCAACCAGACTGATAAGGTGATTTTTGAGGTATACCAAGTTGATTTTCTTACACTTGTAACAACAGAGGTATTTTTGAGGTATAAAAATTTTTACCTTGTTTCAACTAAAGAAAGTGAGGTATTTATTGAGGTATATGGAGTCATTTTTTTTTTTACACCTAAGCTTATTTTGAGGTTGTTTTAAATCCACTTCAAATCAACCAGACTGATGAGGTGATTTTTAAGGTACACGAGGTTGTTTTTCTTACACTTGTATCAAAAGAGGTATTTATGAGGTATAAAAAAATCAACCTTAATTCAACTAACGAGAATAAAGTATTTACGAGGTATAAAAAAATATATCTTTTTTCAATTAAGGAGAGTGAGGTATTTATTGAGGTATATG